TAAAAACGCATGCTGGAGGCCCCACACGTGAATAGTTTTTTTCTTCTTCTCACGCCGACTGTTTTTGTCTCTCCTCATTCTCATAGAAGGAGAAGAAACTTCAGGAAGTAGCCAAGTTAGTCTGTACAGGATAAACTTAAAAAAACAACAAATGGTCTGGTAGCACTTTCTAGGCTAACAAAACATGCAGGTGGTATCATGAGCTTTCGTGGGCACAGTCCACACAGTCATCTATCACAGTCAGTCACAGTCATCTGAAGAAGTGGGCTGTGCCCATGAAAGCTCATGATACCATCTACTTGTTTTGTTAGTCTTTAAAGTGCTACCAAACTTTTTTTTTTTTTAAGTTTAAAAGGAGAAGAGACATTTCCAAAAAATAAATGCATTTGAAACTGGATCTTTTCCTTTATACAGAGTCTTTCAAAATGCCCTGTAAGTGGGCTAAGAACTGGTGTGTGTTAGGCTTGGCTCCCCAGAAGTCCCAGCCTCAAGTGCACGAGTTCATTCATGCAAAGATAACAAGATATGGCCTGTTTTCACAGAGTACTCTTGGCGGCACTGGGGCAGAAATATTCAGGGTCTTCAGTGCAGTTCAGCGTGGCTGAGTCCAGCGTGTCTGGCTTGTACTGAAGTTCATCTCTGGGTAGCACATGCTTGTGAAACAGGGTCTTGCTGTCATTTTGCCAGTTGTCTGAAGAGCTTTATCTGCCCCCCTCCCGCCCCCGAGCCATGAAGGGAGTGGCTTGGGGAAGAGGACAGCACGGAGAGTTTCCCAGGCTACGGCGAGGATGAGGAGATAACAACCAGATGGGAACTGTCATGATTCGTGAGGATAGAGTTGCTGCTCTTTGAAGATGGACAGCGCGTGGAATGAGGAAAACGAGGATGGGGACGTGTGTGCCGGAGAGAGAGCACAGTGAAAGCAGAGCCTCTGGGAGAGGGGCCCCAAAACTTCCTCCCTGTCCCCTGGGCTTTAAAAAGCATGGGCACTTTTCACAGGTGCCGACTCTGCCACAGTCACATTGCCAGGAACAGCTGCGTCCCCTGGATGGGAGGAATCACTGGAACCATGAGGGGTTCTCTCATTGCAAAGCCCTGTCTGCAGACCAGCAGGATCCTGGGGGAGGGGGAGGAGGAGGGACCCTCTGGCAGAAGAATTCTGCCACTTCCTGTTCTCACCTGGGAAAGTCCCTATAACAGCGCCTGCACAAGAGCTCTCCTTGTGGGAGAGATGGGAGCTTGCTGCAAGGATACGGTATTTCAGCTGCTGGGTATAGGCCAGACCCAGTAGTTCTTGGTGTCTGTCTAGCTCCCAGGTTGTCTGATGTAACCTGTTTCCCGTGGCCATTACCAATGTTCCCTCTAAGTTTTTCCATCTGTGTGCAGAATAAATTTTGTTATGTGCACCACCAATAGAAACACCTGCTGCTGACTGTGGTTAGCTGTGAATGCTCTGCCAATTAGCTGGGCAGAACCTTAATGTCTCCTGGGAGGCAGCCCAAGCGTTTAGCTTACAGGGAACACTGGATACAATGCAGGTATCCCTAATTCCTGGCTCTGCAGTCACCAGTGGGGCTGTGGCCAATGCTAAAGAGACTCCCTTGACTCAGTGCATATTTGAGCGTCATTTCTCCCAGGACTGAGCCTGGAGGGGCGAGTGCTTGTAAGTGGGTCCCACGGGACGTGACCGTGGGAAAGGTACTAAGATGGGCATCAGGGCTGCTACTGTTTTTTCATGGGCGCCGAAGTGGCGAGACTTCTTCAGCAGCTCCGAGCGCAGGTGTGTTTTTATTTCAAAAGGCCCAGTTTCCATATCAGGAGACAGTTAATGGCTGCTCCTGGAAAACAAAGGAACCAACCTATGGCGCTCACAAGAGGGAGCATCAGCCCGCAGGTGGCTTTCGATGACCATTCTGCTGGGTTCTGCTCCTTTGGGGCAAGCATTTCTTCCCAGCCAAGGAGTCTCCATCTCAGGGAAACTTACCTGACAGGTCCTTGTGTAACAACGTGCCCGCTCCCTGCAGAACTCTTCCCCTCCCCGCCATGTATTTCAATTGTTTGGAAAGGCACAAACATAAACATACCTACTTTTGTCTTACATAATTAAGCCTCTTATCCCTAAAGCCACAGTCTTAAGCCCTAGACACTGGGAGACATCAGCAGTAGTGGAAATGCCGACACATGTGATGTGAGGTCAACTGGGCTACTGATACGGGAACAGAGAAGTTCCTGCATAAGCCTTTTCAGGTTTGGGGCCTCAGCTTCCTATTAACTAACAGGGACAGGGGAGCGGGGTTACACTGATGTCTATCAAGTATTGTGCTACTGATTTTTTGTTAAGAAAAGAATTCCTCCGTTAAGTTAATGGGGAATTTTTACATTTATGTCACCACATGGCCTGAAATGAAGGTCCGATCCTGATCTCCGTTAAGCCCGTTAAATTTGGACTTCATTTTTTATTATTTTGGTTGGATGCCAATTTCATTGAGTTCAGAATCTGGCCTTCTCACAGGCATCTCATTTCCTCATAGTTTTGCCAATGAGATTTTGATTTACCTGAGTTCATCTTGTCAGACAATGTGCCCAAATTTAATTCTTCTGAGGGCAGTTGAAAAGAATCGCCATATATTGCAATAATAGACTAATAAACATGGTTCTTCTATAGTAGCTTTCATGCAGAGTGTTATTAATACTTTGGGTGGCAAGATCTCTGTACATTAAGTAAAGCATTATTTTGCCCACATTATAGGTGGATAAGCCCAGAGAAATAGAGGGTAACGGTTTCAAACTTGTATTTCTCTACTGTATGTTAATGTGAGCTGCGAGTGCTTAGCAGTACCCAGTATCAATTGGCCAAGTGGCCACGTCGTCACTTACTGAAGGCTCTGGCAATTGATCTTCCAGGGTTTGATTTAGCAGGTCTGTTACAGACCTGCTAAATCGAATACTGAGAAAATCGATGATAGTTACGTTGACCCCAGCTTCGCAATTCTTACTTAAGGCGTGTTGCGTGTCTTGCATCGATTTTCTCTGCTGGTGTAGACTTGGTTTGAATTTCTAATTAGGTACTAATGCCTGGATTAAGTTCCTAACTTTAGTCACCCAGCTCTGGAAATGTGGGTCAGTCTATCCTACTGAGGCAGTAGAAGTTCAGGGAGTCACAGCTTTACCTTTCTTCTAACTAACAGACCACACGTCACTCTCTTAACCATAGAGAATACTCTTTTTAGAGAGTGATGGATCAGAGATTATTATGCCCACCACTTGCTCTGCCGGAGGTTTAAATGTTCTTGTGAACTTTTATGACGAAGGTGCAGCGCTGATCTAGGCCATTAGGCAGACATATGTCAGCTCCGCATATTTTGGAGGCAAAATGAATCTCAGAAGTTATAAGAAAGATCGCAAGACCTATTTTCCACATGGAGAGCCTGTGGTATAAGTATGCACTCTGTGGTGTGGGCTTCAAGGGCCCTCCAGTTTATGGCTAACAATGCCAGATTGCAAAGACTTGGGAAGAGATGAGTAACAGAGACTACACCCCATAGACCATGTTGGTCCAGTGTTACGCTAGCTCCTGTGCTAATACAAAGTACAGAAGCCTCAAAGGCACAAACTGAAATGACGTGGACTACAGGGTCCTCTGGCCTCTCTGCTGCACTGATCAGAGAGGGGGAAAAGAGTAGACGTTTCCAAGAAAAGTCTGCCTGCAGCTCCAGCCAGTCCCCCATGTAGGGGACCTAGGTAGGAAAGGTCAGAATTACTACTCTAAGTACAATGTCTGACAGGCTGGTCCGTCTCTCGCTTGTAACATTTCTTCTGCAGTAAGCATCTGCCACTGGAAGGGAGCCATGCCATTTGCCCAGGCTGGCTCATTGTGTGGATGCCCTAAGAGCTGCAGATCTTGTTGCATCTGTATGGTTAGGCAGCTGTTCTCCATGTGTGGAATAATTCTTTGCTGTGCACTGAGGCAGGTCAGCATGTGCACCACCTGTGCAGGATTGATTTCTTTTCCCTCCGAGAAGCTTTGTGGTGCCTGTATCTTTATATCTCTGTGTGTCTATTAGTTTAAAGAAAAGCCGCAGTTAACCCCTCCAGCGTGTGCAAACTGGGCTCCATCCCCACCACCGTCCTTCTCAGAAGCTAATCTGTGTGACGGGCAGATAAGACCCCTCACTCATCAGTTCACCAATGGAATTTATTTTGGAATAATGGAGTGCAGAAACCAGAGTACCTCAGCTGGAGCCACATGGCTTGCTTAGTCTTGGAATGAGGGCGGGGGGTGGGAGGGCACTGAACAGGAGGTAATGGCTGGGTGGG